GAACCATACACGCCTTCTCTCTGGTGAATGAAAGTTGCACCCAAACAGACGGGAAACCAAATCAGCAAATAAGAAAAACTAACCTTCAATACCATAACCTAAAAAAAAAATAGCACAACTAATCATATTATTACAATGCTCGTAATACACAGCTAAAAGAAAAATCTTGAAGAATACAAGCTGTCAAAAGCTCAAACTTACAATCTACAATCCCTACCAATAAAGATGATATTTTTTATCCTTTCGATTATGGAATAGAAAACAATTAAAGCTAACCAACGAAAATAGTTATATAACAACAAAGTAATTTTCATTAAATAAAATCATAATTTTATACATATATTTTAGAAGCAAAAGCCTTGCGACCTTCTCAAAGTCATCATGTAGTCTTGTTTCTTAGAGTAAATGGAGGCAGGATAACATATCAGAATTAACGAAAAGAAAATCTAGACCAAAACCAACGCGTACATCGATTTTCTTAGCTTTTCAAATAAAATCTATGGGTATCATAATGAAACTTATCGTTCATCAACTTAGATAACACAGAGATTCACATATTACCAAGATGAAAAATATAACTTATAAGAAAGAGAAATTTACATGCTTTGGAGACATAGTAACGATTTCTTATGCTGCTTAACTAACAACGTTCACTGCAAAGAAAATTGTTAAATGAGGCAATAAACTCCACATGATGACCTAAACTATTAACCAAAACAAAAGGAGAAGTTTCTAAATCTATTTTGGTTAGAAAATTTTACCTGACGTGGATGATCTTAACACTGGCCATGGTGGAGTTTACATCGTGCAGAAAATTTTACCTGACGTGGAGTTTAAAATTTTGGTTAGAAAATTTTACATCGTGCATACAATTTTCCAAATGATTTGATAATGCTTTATTATTTTCAAAAATGATGTGTATACGATCGAAAGTGAAGAATTACACATTACTTGCAAGCCAAGTATGTGAAGAATACACAGGCAATACCATAAAACTAATCGCAGCAGCCAGCCATCTTAATAGTCGCTGTTTTTTCGAGCTATGACACAGATAACGCCCGCAAGAGTAATTTAGCGGTACCTCCTTTTTTATTTTCTACCTCTCTTTTGTCTTGTCGCAACAACACCATGACGAACATGGGTTATATTAATAACAATTATCATCATGAAATCCTTTCAACCAAGGCACAATCAACTTGATTTATTAATTTCCAATTTGTGAGTAAGAGTAGGTGTTTTCAATTAAGAACAAAGGTATAATTTTAATGCTATTATCACTGTTGAACCGTAGACCCATAGGAG